TCGGATTCAGGTCAGGAGATTCGGCTGGCCAGTCTATATTTCTCTCTTGAAACCACTCCATTCTTGAGGCACTTACATTAACGGCGTTGTCTTCTTGGAATTTTAACTAAACGTGTGGAAATCGCTGCATATTGGTAATGCTTCTTTTCATTCGAAAATGCTTCTTTTCATTCGAAAAAAAAACCTGGAATACTACAGTGTATGATATTACATGCGGAAACCGCAAGTGCAAATTGCTCCATCCCATTGATGAGGTCAAATTACGTGTTCCTTTGCGAAAAAGACTCGTGCTTCCTTATGTGCGCTCGTCAAACATGGCGTAGTTGAAAACTGCTACTGCACGATGTGGGAACATGATTCCAGCACACGATGAATTTATTCGACACATCAGGCGCTATTTTCTTGTTCACGCCACTTGTGGCATTAGATGCAGTATTGGGAATTTGGCGCTTCTGCCTTTCCAAAACTTTCCTAGGTCTCCCGCTCCTTTTTTTCGTACCGTAGGAGTCGATGTTGTTGCAGAATTTGCTCACCAAGTTGACTGATCGTCCTAATTTCCTTGAAATGCTGCGGTGGCTGAGTCCCATATCCTTGTAACCCGAATTTGGCCTTTCTCCGAAGTCGTGTAGATGCGTTCCTTGTGGCATGGCACTGCATAACAAGCGCAGTAAGGAGAGCAGTGACAAGGGTCTCACAATCCACTTAAGTCAGAAATACTGAAAAAGAACATAGTGTCGCTATACTTTTGGGACGCCATGACGGGGAAAAAATGATAAAAACAACGTTAAGGCCCCGCTCTGCCTTTTTCAATTTCACTTGTATATTTGTACCCTGGTGTAATAGTGCATTAATGATAAAAAATTGGTGGGAAATCATTCGTCCATTATAAAGGTACCATATTGGTCCCCCATCAGCCGCTGGTGCGTTCCTTCTCTGCGTAAGCTTTGCGTCTTCCGCTGTGGTTTCTTCCACTTGTAGCACTGACACCTCGTGGAGCTTAAGCGTAAAGAAATTCATATATATTACGTTGTCTCATAA